TCAACATTCAGTCGACCGTCCCGGAGGACCTCAAGTCCGCCGATATCAAGGTCAACGCCGAAGTTGAGGGCAAGGCAGACAAAGTGCGGTTCGATATTTCTCTTGACGGCAAGCAAATTGCCTCGGAAACTGTCCAAGTCAGTTCTGACAAGGCCACGGCCTCTTTCACCCTCGAGAACCCTTCACTCTGGTACCCCATTCGATACGGCAAGCAGCCTCTGTACCAAGTCAAAGCGACTCTTATTGCCGGTGACAGCGAGGAAGACGAGATCGAGAAGAGAATCGGCTTGCGCCGGGCTGAGCTCATCCAGCGACCACTAAAAGACCAGCCAGGAAAGAGCTTCTTCTTCCAAGTCAACAACATCCCCCTCTACTGCGGCGGCAGTGACTGGATTCCCGCCGACAACTTCATCCCCCGGATCAGCAAGGAGAGATACTACGACTGGATCAAGCTCGTGGCCGACGGCAACCAGTTCATGATCCGTGTCTGGGGCGGCGGCATCTACGAAGAGCAAGCCTTCTACGATGCCTGCGATGAACTCGGCATTCTCGTCTGGCAAGACTTCATGTTTGGCTGCGGCAATTACCCTGCCTGGCCCGAACTCCTCGAGTCCATCAAGCGCGAAGCCTACGAGAACGTCAAACTCTTGCGTCATCACCCGTCCATCGTCATCTGGGCCGGCAACAACGAAGACTACCAGTACCAGGAAAGCGTCAGCCTCACATACAAGTACGAGGACAAGAACGCCGACAACTGGCTCAAGACCGACTTCCCCGCCCGCTACATCTACGAGAAGATCCTCCCCGACGTCTGCTCCGAGCTCATCCCCACCACTTACTACCACCCCGGCTCGCCTTGGGGCGACGGCGTCGACACGCACGACCCCACGGTGGGCGACATCCACCAGTGGAACGTGTGGCACGGCACGCAAGAAAAATGGCAAAACTTCGACAAGCTCGGCGGCCGCTTCGTGTCCGAGTTCGGCATGCAGGCCTTCCCCTCGGTCAAGACCATCGACGCCTACCTCCCCCTCGGCAAGAACGATCCCGATCGGTACCCGCAGTCCTCAACCGTGGACTTCCACAACAAAGCCGACGGGCACGAGCGGCGCATCGCCCTCTACCTGGTGGAAAACATGCGCTACGGCCCGGACCCGCTCGAGCAGTTCGTCTACGCCACCCAGCTGATGCAGGGCGAGTGTCTGGCGTCGGCCTACCGGCTCTGGAAGAGGCAGTGGAAGGGCCCCGGCAGGGAGTACTGCGGCGGCGCGCTGGTGTGGCAGATCAACGACTGCTGGCCGGTGACGAGCTGGAGTATTGCCGATTACTACCTCCGTCCCAAGATGGCGTACTTTACCGTGAAGAGGGAGATGGCGCCCGTGAGCATCGGTATTACCAGGATGGAGCACCGTCACCCGAAGGATCGGTACACGCGCGTTCATGTGGATGTGAGCACCAAGGTCGAGGTGTGGGGAAGTAACCTGACGCTGGAGGACCTCGAGGTCGATTGTCTTGTGAAGGCGTGGGATGTTGAGACAGGCGAGCAGACGTTCAACGAGATCGTTGCCGAGCGGATCACGCTGCCGGAGAACAGGTCGACGGAGATTGATGCTAGGGACGTGCCTGTCATCGCGGGCGGTGGGAAGGACCAGGAGAAGCGCACGGTTGTGGCGGCGTATCTGATTGATCGCGATGGCAAGCAGATTGCTAGGTATGTGAACTGGCCTGAGCCGCTCAAGTATCTGCACCTGCAGAAGCCGAAGGAACTCAAGGTGGTGCTGTCTGAGGATGGCACGGCGGTGGAGATCAGCGCCAAGGTGCCGATCAAGGGTCTGGTGGTGGAGACGGAGGATGATGAGGTGGCGTTTGAGGATAACTTGGTTGATCTTGTGCCGAATGAGGTGGTGAGGATTGGAGTCAAGGGGGCTACCAAGGAGACGAAGCTTGAGGCTAGATATTTGGGGATGTTGTAAACGGGAAACATAAAGGGGAAAAAGATAACAAAAGGGGTAGGATGATGATACCTAGATACATCTCATTATAGTCAATTTTCATGGAAAGAGGAAGGGAGCAGAAGTGTTTTCAATCAAATGGACTTGCTTTCAGTATATATGCCTATATGTGTATCAAAGAATGACCCAAACCCAAACGCCGTCGCCAAAACCAAACCCAAGAATTACAAATCTTTTCCTTTTTCATTGTCTTCACTTCAGCCTCAGCACTTAGCAGCAGCCAGAGCCACCGCTGGCCTTGGCCTCCTCCAGCTTCTTCTCATCGACAGTGGTATCAAGACTAGTCTCGACCTTCTCGTTAGGGCCGGCAATCAAGATCTTGATAACCTCACCCTCCTTAACTTTCTTGAAAGCCTCCTCGGCGTCCTTGAAGGCAACAACGCCGTTGACGAGCTTCTTGACATCAACCTTGCCCTGCTCAACAAGCTGGATGGCCAGCTTGTAATCGCCGCTGCCGTAGCGGAACGAGCCGCTGGCGGTGACCTCCTTGATGCAGAGCGCCATGATGGGGAAGGTGATGTTGTCCTTGCCCATGCCGCCCTGGACGTAGTGGCCGCCCTGGCGGACGACGTGGAGGGCAGCCTGGATCGAGGGCTCGGCGCCGCTGGCGTCGATGACGGCGTCGGCACCGTCGCCGAGGTCGGCGGCCGCGATGATGTTGCGCGCGTTCTCCTCGGGCGAGACGCGCTGCGAGAGGTACGTGTGCGTGGCGGCGAACGACTTGGCGAACTCGAGCTTGGAGGGGATGATGTCGACCGAGACGACCTTGAAGGCGCCGTAGGCCTTGGCGACGGCGGCGCAGAGGAGGCCGACGGGGCCGGCGCCCATGACGACCACGGTCTGGCCGGGCTGGATCTTGGCCTGCTTGGTGATGTGGACGGCGACGGCGAGGGGCTCGATCAGGGCACCCTCCTGGAGCGAGACGGTCTCGGGGAGCTTGTAGCAGAAGTCGGCGGGGGCGGTCCAGAAGCCGGTCAGGGTGCCGTCGTAAGGGGGGGTGGCGGCGAACTTCATGTCGGGGCAGAGGTTGTAGTGGCCGGAAAGGCACTGGACGCAGCGACGGCAGGGGTAGCCGGGCTCGAGGGCGACGCGGTCGCCGACGGAAAGGGTCTTGACGGCATCGCCGACGGCAACGATGGTACCGGCGGACTCGTGGCCGAGAACCATGGGGTCCTTCACAACGAAGTGGCCGATGGCGCCGTGGAGCCAGTAGTGGACATCGGAGCCGCAGATGCCGGTGTAGTTGATGGCGACGAGGACGTCATGGGGAGAGTTGATCTTGGGGACGGGCTTGTCCTGGAAGCAGACGTCGAGGGGCTTGTTGAGGACGAAGGAGAGGTTCTGGAGAGAGAGGGAGGTCAGTACTGGCTCGGGGAAGAGGAAACAAGGAACTGAGCAAGGGTGAAACTTACGGACTTGCCGTCGGTAGCCATTTTGGAGGTTTGTTTGGTGGTGATTAGGGGTAAAGGGGTATCTCTGGTATTGTTGATGGAGGGTGACCGAGGACAAGTTCAACGGAAAGACAAGACTTGAAGGAGGATAGCTACGAGGAAGGAGAAGGAAGACGAGGAAAAAAAGATGGAGGGAGCAGGAACCGGTTAAATATGTCTTCTTGTGTTAACCGCTACTCGGAATCTTCTTTTACCCAAGATACCTCCTAGTTCATTCTTGGTATGTTTTGCCGCATCGAGGAAGAAGCTCGGATGGTTGCCAGAGAAAGTTGTCATGTCAGGCGGGTACGCAGGGCGGGGATTCGCTGCCCAGCACCTCAATGAAGGTTGTCAAGATGCAGCACCGAGATGCATGGAAGCAGCTGTTGGTGACGCTGTTGTTTGTTAGTGACAGAAGCTTTCCCGGAGCTAGGGGGGTGCCCTGCAGCGGTTGCACGGCCGAGACAGAACCCCACGCTCTCCACGCAGCCGCATTCCCACAGTTCCACATCTCTCGACTTTATCCAAGGCATTTAACCGTGCCAATCAGCGACGGAGCGCCTGTCCGACGATATCCGCTAGAAGGACCAGCATGGGCCAGACATGATGCCTCTGGCTCGTCTGGGCAGGAATTGATATCAGGTGAGAGGCAGAAACTTTTGGACATCTCAGGGGGAAACTGAGAACAGGATGAATTTGTGATCTTCAGAGCCGTCAGAGCGTAACCGCGTATTCCCCGAGGCGAAGACGGGTGCTGTTCCGAGAGACTGGAAGCCGGAGGATCATGAAGACATTGTGGGCTATAGCTCTGGACATGGTGATATTGCGCAGCATTGCCCAACGAGCTGGGCTTCAACATGGTGTAGTAACGGTATCGAGATACTGGATGGGGGGCAGCGGGATGCAGGTCATATATAACGCGGTGCGCACATCCCTCTCGGGGACATTTACACCGGTGAAGCGAGTGCTCTTTCATCCCATCAAAGTTCACCTGTCAATGCACGGCGGATAGCCCGGGTAACAAAAATACAGACCTTCATCTGCACCAGATGTGCATCAGATGAAAAGCCATGCAAAAACAATAAATCGGCAAAAGATAATTGACAAGGGCGAGATTCGAACTCGCGCCTATTTCTAGACCAGGAAACTCGGATTGAGTAAATTCAGGTGGACCTGAACCTGGCGCCTTAGACCGCTCGGCCACCTTGCCATCGATATCTTATTTTGATCGTGACAGTGGCTTTTGAGGGCATGATGGCCCGAGGTGCTCGGCATGGTAGCTTGAGGTGGGGCTAAGTGCTTTTTTGGCGGGGTTCAGTTGAAGGATGGATGCCAATAGACTTCCAACCGAACGGTAAGCCAAGCATCGTGAAACGGAACATCCCGTCATCTTTTCTTACCATTGTGATTTTGATCTGATTGTGAGTGATAAGGTGAGTTTGGATTGAGTCGCAATTGATGGGATTCGGACTTGGTATTGTGAAATTTCACTAACACCAGGGTAGGTATCATACAACATCAGATACCGATTTATCACCGTTTCGATACCAACGGCCTGATGCACTATGTTTTGAGGCCAATAGCTTCAAGACTTCCCCTTGTCTCCCCTCTGAGGTCACTCACCATCACCAATTACTTCACAAAACGCACCATGGCATCTAACGCTAGGACATACAACGTAAGTCAGCCTGCCCTTCCCCGTTCAAGAAACTCAAACACTCACCATTCCAATATCAGGACGCAATCGATGCGCTCAACTCCCTCCAGACCCCCTTCGCCGTCATCGAAGCCCGGCGCAAAGCCGGCGTCCGTCCCGATGCGCATTCGGTAAAGGAAATGCGGGCTTACCTCGCCCGCATCGGCTACTCCTCCCAGGACCTCGATCGCCTCAACATCGTTCACGTAGCCGGCACCAAGGGCAAGGGAAGCACGTGCGCCTTTGTCGACTCCATCCTCACGCGTCACCAGCGGACACACGGCATTCCCAAGCGCATCGGTCTCTTCACCTCTCCTCACCTGATTGCCGTCCGGGAACGCATTCGTATCGACTCCAAGCCCATCTCCGAGGAGCAGTTTGCCCGCTACTTCTTCGAGGTCTGGGATCGTCTTGAGACATCCGAGGTGGCCAAGGATGAAGTGGCCCTGGGTAGCAAGCCCATTTACGCTCGCTACCTGACTCTGATGAGCTACCACGTCTATCTGTCCGAGGGCGTCGATGTAGCTATTTACGAAACTGGCATCGGTGGTGAATACGATGCCACCAACGTGGTGGACCGTCCCGTGGCTAGCGGTATCAGCACCCTTGGAATCGACCACGTCTTCGTCCTGGGTGATACGGTCGACAAGATCGCCTGGCACAAGGCGGGTATCATGAAGACGGGCAGCCCGGCGTTCACGATTGAGCAGGTTCCCTCCGCAGCTCAGGTGCTCAAGGATAGGGCGGTGGAAAAGGGAGTCGATCTCAAGATCCTTGACGTCGATTCCAGACTCAACGGCGTCAAGATCCGCCCCGATGCGGTGTTCCAGAAGAAGAATGCTACGCTGGCTATCGCGCTCGCTGAGACCGCTCTCAAGCAGTTGGATCCTTCCTTCAAGACTGGTACCGATAACCTATCACCCGAGTTCGTCGAGGGTCTCGAACAGGTCGTCTGGCGTGGCCGATGCGAGGTCAAGGAGGAGGACCAAGCTGTTTGGCATCTTGATGGCGCACATACCGTTGACAGCTTGAAGGTGGCAGGAAGATGGTTTGTCGAGGAGTGTGTCAAGAAGGCCAAGGGCGGACCCAAGGTGCTCATCTTCAACCAGCAAGGCCGGTCTGAAGCCGTGGATTTCCTCGATGGGCTTTGCAATACGGTCAAGAGTGCTGATCCGGAGGGAACTGGCTTCAGCCATGTCATTTTCTGCACCAACGTGACATATGCGAAAACTGGCTACAAGAAGGGTATGTTTCCTTTTTTTTTTTTTTTTTTTTTTTTTTTTTTTTCAGTCCATGATCTGCCCATGCTAACCTGCAACAGACTTTGTCAACCATCAGTACAACCCCAAGGACATCGAAAACATGACACAACAACGAGTGTTCGCGGAGAGGTGGTCTACCCTAGACCCGTCTGCGAATGTCATGCTTATCCCGACTATCGAGGAGGCTATCAACAAGGCCAGGAGCCTGATGGAAGCGGAAGGCGACCAGAAAGTGCAGGCACTCATCACCGGCAGCCTTCATCTCGTAGGTGGCGCCCTCGGTATTTTGGAAAAAGCAGATGCTCTTTGAAAGGGGTTTGTGGTTCGGTAGTTTTCAACATTTGTTATAGATATCCCCCCATCTTTCATACAGTATGTACAGGATTCGGCATTTTGCTTCGCAGCATCTTTTGTTCTTTATAAATACAGGGAATATGGGGAAAAAGTACAGGAAAATAGAACGAAGCAGGGGGTTAAAAAGCAAGCCAGTACTTAATATTCAACATACTCAACTGTCTTGAGCACGCCACCAAGCAGGTGGAAGCTTCCCGTTACCAGAACATTGCACGTCTTGCCGTCCCTGCGCGCCTGTTCCGCGATCTTTTGAACCTGTTCCATAGCCGGCTCTACTGCGTTGTAGACCGAGGTCTCGGTCCCCGCACTGGCTTCCTGGAAAATCTTCTGCCCCTTCAACTGCACCGTGAGATCTCTCTCCGGCTCACCTTCCACCGGCGCCTTTTCTTCATTCCTGGTGAGCACCGCGTAGCTGAACACCGGCGTCGAAGTCCCGCTCTGCTTCTGCGCGGCTGTAAGAAGTGCCCTCAACAAGACCTCCGGGTCCCTATCCTGCTGATTAAACACCAAGACGTTGACCTCATCCCCCTTCACCTTGCCAGCAAACCACTGCCCAACACCCGCCAGACTATCCTCCGTATGCGCTCCATCGACGAACCACGCCGTCCCCTTGGAGTCTTTGAACGACTCACACCTCCCCTTAAGGCTAGCCTCCTTCAGCCCCTTCTCAAACCCAGCCGGGATATCATCCAACTTCCAGCCCTCCTCCCCAAACGCCCCCTCAAACTTCTGCCCCATCCTAATCAAATGTTCCCTCGCCGCCGCCACCGCCAACGCCATATTGAACTTCTGAAACGGTCCTTCCAGCCTCGCCCCCTCCACGCCCTTCCACTTCTCAACCTCCTCATCCTCCACCTCCACCAACTCCGCCACTCCCTTCTCCTGCGCCCTATCCCTCAACACCTCCATCACCCCTTTTTTGTCAGCACCATCCAACCTCCTCGTAAAAGCCCTAACCCCCTGCCTAAAAATCCCGCTCTTATTCCACGCAATCTTCTCCACCGTATCCCCCAACATCGCCACATGATCAATCCCCAACTGCGTGACAACACTGGCCGTGACACTTTCGGCACTCAAAAAATTCGTCGAGTCGTATTCCCCGCCAATACCACATTCAATCACCGCTTGCTTCACCCCCTCGCGCACAAAGACATGAAAAGCAAGTATGGTCAAAAACCGGAAATAAAAAGGCTTCGTCCCCGGCCCATCGTATTCCTCATTCGACGTTACTGGGTCGCCCGCTTCGCGGGCTGCTTGCGAAAGCCGGTCCCATACTTCAAAGAAGTAAAGCGCGAATTTCTCGCGGGAGATGGGCACGTTGTCGAGTTGGATCCGTTCGCGGACCGAGAGGACGTGCGGGGAGGTGTAGGTTCCTACCACCACGACTGGCCCGCCGGGGGTAGTATTGGTAGGAGGGTATTGGGAGATGATAGACGACACCAGTGCAGATGCGGACCCTTTACCCTTTGTTCCCGCAACGTGCACGCACTTCAGCCCTGTGGCGGCGAGGGAGGAGGGCGTGTAGCCGGCGCGGGCGAGCCAGGAGAGCATTTCGGGGATGGCGAGGGAGTTGAGGTACTTTTTGGCGGCGGCGGCAGGCTTGTTTTGGAAGTCATTTTTGTTGTCGTCGGTACCGAAGAGGTTGACGATTGTGCGGTTGGATTGGAGTTGGGCGAGACGGGAGAGGGCGTCGTCGTAGGTGCGCTGGGAGGAGGAGGCCATCTTGAATGGGGTTGTATGGTAAGGGCGAATTTGAGGTTTGAAGGTGACGTGACAGGTTGGTGTTGGCTTGGCTTGGAATGAAGCTGTTCTTGTGGTGAAGGCACTGCAGCGATTGGGTTTGTTCGGCCGAAAGCGGAAGCTGGAGAGTTGTCGCTGGTGGGTAGGTCGAAGTGAGCATAAAAATCGGCGAGACATTTATGGTTGAGTCATCTGAAGTCCTTTGGGAGGTAAGAGGCTCGAAGGCCAGTGGAATATTTATGTTTGGATCAAGTTGAGGAAATTTCGTGAAGATCTCGTATGGTGTGCTTTGATTCTATCCCGGCCCCTCACTGCAGAAGTCACCGTCCCAACGCCGCAACTCGGAGCCCAAAAATACGGAAAATTTCCGAAAAGCATGTACAAAGCTATGAGCATACTGAGCTTGGAGAACGTCACTTATTGAAATCATGCTATCCGGCCGTCAAATTGAATCTATTTCATCTGACTTAAACTACACGAAAACAAGTACTCACACGAATACAACCAGAAAAAAGCGCCTCTATTTTGTCTCGGATTGCCACTGTAAACTTACAGAGTCTCACAACAAAGGGAATTCGTGCTAAGCCTACTATCGTAACGAACAATCCTGTTTACTCCACCCTCAAGCTCTGCAGCCTAGCCTCTGTCTGAATAACATCCAACGCCTGCTGAACCTCCAACACCTTCCTGACCTCACCGAGCCAATCCCTGGAAAGGGTCTTGGCCCAGCCCTTGAGACCGTTCATCTCTCTCGCCGCATTGTCGAGATCGCCCTCCTCGAGGTAGGTCTGGGTGCGGGTAAGGATGCTCTCGACATCGTCACCAGTCGCAAGGCCCTCCTTCTTGAACATCAACTTGCTGAGGATGAGGCTGGAAGCGTGGCTGGCAACACCGGCGTCCTCAGGGAGAAGAGAAGCCTTGCGAACCTCGGTAGCAACACGGCGGAAGCGGTCGATGAGCTCAGCGGAGGTGGGAATACCACGCTGGTAAGCGGTGGGGTTGATGGAAGCGATAGCAGCATCGACGACGGGGTCCTCGGCAGCAATTTCCTTCAGGGCAACGAGCTCCTTGATGAAGGGACGGGGGTGGTGAGCGTCCTCGAGGCTGGCACGAACGGCGTCGACAGCAACATGAAGCTGCTGAGTGCGGAGGTTGGTATCAACAACCTCGTTCAAGCCAGAGGTGAGCTTCTCAAGGTCGGCAACAGCCTTGGAAAGCTCGTTGAGCTTGCCAAGACGGCCATCGCGCTCCTCCTCAACGTGCTTCTTGATGTCGTCGGTAAACTGGCGCTGGAGCTGGATGGCCTGCTCAAGGAGACGGTTGTTGAGCTTCTCCTCGGCAATCTGGCGCTCGCGCTCCTGGATCAGGTGAGTCTTCTCGTCGTAGCTCTTCTTGAGGCGGATCATCTCCTCCTCGAACTCGCGACGCCAGGCAGCCTCCTGAGCGGCCATCGCGGACTCAACCCGAGAGACAAGCTCGTTGGCGGCCTTGTCGAAACCATCAACGCGAGCCTTAACCTGCTTAGCAGCCTCGGCTTCAACCTTGGCCTTCATCTCGTTGATCCTGCCGGCAACCTTGGAGAGCTCGTTCTTGGCCTTGCCGATGGTGGGAGCGTACTTCTCGTTGGCGTTGTCGTGGTTGATAACGGTGATGATGTCGTTCAGCATCTTGACGAGGTCCTGAACAATGGGGTCGGTGGCACCGTTAACGTTCAGGGGGTCAATGGGCGAGGCAGGGGGCCAGCGAGAGGGCTCGTCAACCTCGGGAGCCTTGAAGGGCTTCTTCACGGGGGTGCCGGAAGCATCGGTGGCGGCGGGAGCAGCAGCGGTAGCAGGGCCGGGAACGGCGGCGGCGGCGGGAACGGGCTCGACCGGAGTAACGGTGGTGGTGGACTCGGTCTTGGGAAGCTCAGCAGTATCCTTCTTGGCACCAGCAACAACGGCGGGCTCAGACTTGGTGACAGCATCCTTGGCGGCAGCGGCAGCCTTCTTGATAGAGCTAGACTGACGACCGGCAGGCTCGCCACCGTCGGCAACGCGCCACGAGGCACCACTCTGGGCAGGGACCTTGACCTGCTCACCGGAGTCGCGAGGACGACCGGTCACCCTGCTGACAACATCGGGGAAGCGCTTCTTGAAATCCAGCTCCTCCAAGTACAGAACAGCCTGCTCGCCATAGGGGATGTACTCGGTAAAGAAGTCGTGGAAGGCGTCGTTGATGCGCGAGTAGTAGACACCACCACCAAAGGCGATGGCGCCAAGGATGGTGAGGGACAGGAGGAAGTTGCGCAGTCTGCGGAAGAAGCCCTTCTTCTTGCGGGGAGTAGGAAGAGTAGGAGGGACGACGGGCTCCTCGGCGACGGGAGGGATGACAGTGGCCTCGGGGGCGGGGGGCGTCAAGGGGGTGGCCTCGGGAGGGACGGTGGCCGTGGACTCGACCTGGGGCGACGCAGGAGGAGGAGTGGAGGGAGCAGTCAGGGTCTCGGAGGCCGGGAGGACGGCGGGCTGAGAGGCCGGGGGCTCAGGAACAACGGGCTTCTTGTCGTCGGCGAAGAAGCGCTATATGGGAGCGAGGCAGTTGGCATTAGCTAGTAATAGAGGCAGGTAGGTACTGAGCCAGGGCTCGGGACGGGGATGGTGAGGAAGCTGAGCGAGCAGAGTAGATGACCTCATACCTGACCGGACACGGCCGCACGGCGCACGACGGTTGCTTGCCATTGACGGCCAGCAACAGCGGCAGAAGGCCTGCTGCCCAGCGCCCTCACGGATCGCAGTGATGTGCGCAACATGAGGGGGATGGTATGGGGCCTTGGGATATGGGATGGGCGGAGGGGTGGTGGTTGAGTGTAGCGGAGATGTCCCGGGCCTGGAATTGCGAATTGGAGGCTCAGACGGGACGGACGGGGCTCGGAGGGTCTGAGCAAAAAAGAGCTCCCGGTCGGCAAAGTTCCGGGACGAGGCGGGCAGGCAAGAGTTTGGCAGGCTAGTGGTAGCTTCTGACTGCAGAGCTTCAACACAGTGTGCCACTTTCATTGCTTCCACTTCTTGGCCTTGCTTTTCTGGGCCATTTTCTAGCTCCAGTGAATAATCCCGGTCTCTCAGTACGGGTGACCCACCCGTTTTCTTCCCTACTAGAGCTATGATGCACACTGTACGCAAATAAACATCAAGCCTAGGTATGGTACCAACATCTCGCAATGGATTTGCAGTAAATATCTTTCAGATTGCCCAACGCTCGAAATAAAAACAATAGCATAATTACCATTAACCACGCGCGCAACACCCCTCCTCCAGCAGGCTGTTGCCTCTATCTGCATACTGTACAACAGAAGGATTGCAGCTGGACCTACCAGTATCATGAATCATGCCCATAGGGGCAGCTGATGTGCTTCATCAGTCCTTGGACCGTGGAAGGGCACCCCGTCCAGGAAAAAGAGGAACAAAACACCCATCGACCAGATCTCCATCATATCATGCAGCCGCACGACAGTCCGGTCTCACATGAGAAATCCCAACCATCTCCCTTGGCCTTCTCTTTGTGCAAAGGGACCCAGGTCTGCCGTTGCGCCCGTCATTCACGGATCGACCCTTCAACACCGGCACGCTCCCCACTCCTGTAGATGCACCGGGTATTTCTTCCATGCGTGGCTCCCAAACTCCGAAACGTTTCTCTTCACAAGCTCAGCAGGCGCAAGGCCCTCCAACCTGAGTGTTGGCTCCCTCGGGCGCTAGACTGACACCCGGTCGTTGGCCAGGACGAGCATGCCTCGGTCCAACTTGGTCGAGGGGCAGCTTCTTGGCAATCTCGGTGAACAGATTTTGCACGTTTTCGGCAGTCTTGGCAGAAGTCTCGAAGAAGAGAAGGCCGGCCTCCTTTGCATATGCCTGGGCATCGGCCGTCTGGATCGCACGCTTATCGGGTTGCTCCTGGACGAGATCCAGCTTGTTACCGGCAAGGGCGATAATGATATTCTCGTTTGCTTGGCGCTGAAGTTCCTTGACCCACGACTTGGCCTTGTCCAAAGATGCCTACAAGGGGGTTACGTCAGCTCATGTCGCCGGCACAGACAAGGACCCGAGAGGCCACATACCGCCTGTGTGATATCGTAAACGACTACTGCGCAGTTGGCATTCCTGTAGTACATGGGCGCTAGAGACTTGTAGCGCTCCTGGCCGGCGGTATCCCAGATCTCGAACTTGACCGTTGTGTTTTCGTCGAGGGCAATGGTCTGTGTTAGGAAAGCGGCGCCAATCGTGGATTCTCTGTACGAGTCAAACTGGTCCTGGATGGGAGTCAGTTTCCCGCTTCAATTTCATCAAGCGCCGAGTAGGAGCTGACGTACCTTGACGAAGCGCAAGACTATCGAGCTCTTTCCAACCGCCGATTCACCTGCATGCAGGTCAGCAACAAAGCCCCCTCCATGATCCGATCAATATTACGAACCCAACAACACCAGCTTGAACTGGGCAAAGCGGTTTCCCATGCCAGGGCGCGCGCCGGGAGGTCCACGAGTGGCCATTATGGACAGATGATGTTGCGTGGTGGTGACGTTGATGTGTAGTCGGGAGATTAGACGGGGTTGCTGGAGAAGCGAGTTGCGGCGCTACCGGGGGACAGATTAATGGCGGGAGTGCGGGCGACACGAAAGAGATAAAGGGCAAAGAGGTGTCAGGTGGTTGATTAGTCGTTTGCAGGTCGCCACTAAAAAGGCTGGACGGGAATGTGAGGCGCGAAGCAGCAAGTTTGGGTATCGGGTATCGGGTAGTCGTTGAAACAGAAAATCGAGGAAAACAGTTGTTGGGGTTTGCGAGTTCAAGTTGTTGAAGGTGACGGAGAGCAGCAAGCCGCCGAAAGGAAGGCCAGGGAGGGGAACAAGTGCCTGGTGGTGGACGGGATGACTGGGGCCTGCGAATGGATTCGCTTCAGTGTTTGGTGTTTGATGGACAGGGCGGCCGTCGTTCTGATGACGGGATGCTCGCTGGAAACAGTCTGACTTCGGCAGCCTACCGCTGGAGCAATCCACTGGCGGGACTCGCGGGAGTCCTCAGCAGGAGCATGGCTGCAGGGCGGTGCAAGAAATGGCACGTGCACTCGGGCCTATCTCTACACGTGATTGGGCTGGGAGAGAAAGGGTTGCGTCACCCGGGCCCTTGACGATGACGGCCGGCAGGGACGGAGCTGAATGAAAGGCAGGCACTTGTGTGTTTGGTGATGTTTTGGGGGCAGGCACTTTCGCTGACTTCGAGTTTCATCGAGTTGATCTCTGGATGCTGGGCAGTGGTCACAAGTGTTCCACTAAATCGCCTCGGGGTCCATGTCAAGTTCCACACGTCAACGCGTCCGGGGAAGGCGCAGTGAGATTACCGCCCGCTAACAGACCCGCTACAAGGACCGGCAACAGGCAAAGTTCCAGAGCTCAGGGCCCTGTAGGTACAGATCCAGACACTGTATCGAAACAACATAATCTCGGCCCATTTCATGACGAGGCCATCCCCAAGTCTGTTATTGTCCCTTTTTCACAGAACGTCCAAGTGCTTCCCGTTAAGTTTCCCGTCGAGTCGCATGCGATAGACGCTTCTACGTTATCTGCAACAACGGCAACAACACAAACATGACGCTCCCCTTCCGGGACATCAACGTCCAGGCCGCCTCGGACTCTTACATCTTCACCTCGCCCTCCAGTCCCAATGCGCCGGCCTTGACAATCGACCGCCCGACTGGCGATATCCGTCTCAGCGATGCCTCCCTACTCGCCGGCAAGCGGGTTGCCCGCGTATCCAGCATTGCCGGTATTCTGGGTGTGGTCAGGTTGCGCCTAGGTAAGGACAACAAACCCCTTACCGTAAACGTGAACTAACACTTCGCAGACAAGTACATCATCGTCATCACCAAAGCCCAACCAGTCGGCCGCCTCAGGGGTCATATGGTCTACAAGGTTGTCGCGACCGAATTCCTCCCCCTCCGCGAACGCCAGATCCACGACCCCGATGAGGACAAGTTCTTGAACCTGCTCAAGGGCTTCATCAAGTCCGGCCCAATGTACTTTTCTTACTCGCTTGATATCACAAACACCAACCAAAGACAAGCCCAGCATGACCTCGCGACACCTTTGTGGCAGCGCGCCGACGACCGCTTCTTCTGGAACCGATTCCTCCAGTCCGACCTTATCAACTTCCGAACCAAGGGAGGGAGGGGCTCTCCTGCCCCCCAGCCCGGCATCGACCCCTATATTCTTCCCGTCATCTTCGGCATGTTCGAGATTCACCCGACGACCTTCAAGGGCACCCCCATAACTATTGCTTTAATCACTCGCCGATCCCGACACCGTGCTGGTACCCGCTACTTCTCCCGAGGTATTGATGAGCAAGGCCATGTTTCCAACTACAATGAGACAGAGCAGATCGTGGTCTTGAACGACCGTGGCAGTGGCTTGGGTGGTTTTACTGGTAGCGGCGACATGCAGAGTGGGAAGCTCGGTGGAAGTGACGGCAAGGAGATGCAGGTCCTGTCCTATGTGCAAACGCGCGGCAGTGTCCCCGTCTACTGGGCTGAAGTCAACAACCTCAAGTACACCCCTACGATCCAGCTCAAGAGCACCGAGGCCGCTTTCCCCGCTGCGAAGGCGCATTTTGACGAGCAGATCCGTCTCTATGGCGACAACTATCTGGTGAACCTGGTCAACCAAAAGGGCCGTGAGACTCGCGTCAAGCTAGCTTATGAGCAGATGGTCGAGCGCCTCGTATCATCGCCCAAGGAGCGTGTCCAATCCGACGCATTAACCGACGAGAAGTTCCACACCATCGAAACCGGCACCAAGCCCCAGACCGATTTCGACCGCCTTCACTACATCTACTTCGACTTCCACGCCGAGACCAAGGGTATGCAGATGCACCGTGCCCAGCTCCTTATCGACAGGATGCACGAGGCCCTGATAGCCCAGCAATACTTCCGCGCCGTCGACTCTCCCGCCAGCCAGGTCAACGGCGGTCGTCTGGAAGTCCGCAACCTCCAGACCAGCGTAGTGCGCACCAACTGCATGGACTGCCTCGACCGCACCAACGTCGTACAGTCCATGCTCGCGCGCTGGACGCTCGACCGCATGTTCATCGACCTGGGCCTCATGGCGCGCGGGTCTTCGTTCAAGGAGGAGGATCCGGCCTTCGAGTTCATGTTCCGCAACATGTGGGCCGACAACGCCGACGTTGTGTCCAACAGCTACGCCGGCACCGGCGCCATGAAGACGGACATTACCAGGACGGGCAAGCGCACCAAGGCCGGCGCGCTCGCCGACGGCAATATTGCGGTGACGAGATACTGCAAGAACAACTTCTTCGACGGCCCGAGGCAGGACGCCTTTGACCTGTTCCTGGGCGTCTACCAGCCCGGCGCGGCGAATATCGGTTCCCAGCTGGTCTTTGTCGACCGCAGGCCGGTGCTGATCCAGGCGATCCCCTACGTGGCGGCCTTCAGTCTGTTCTTCGTCTTTGTGGGCATGTGGACGCCCAGGCTACCCGATAGTGCCGTGTGGCCGATGAGGTTGTTCATCATTTTCTGGACGGCTGTTGCGGCGTGGTCGCTGACGTTTATCATTTCCAACGGCATGCTTTATGTGAGTTTCATTCCATTGCATTCGCCTTCATATATTTCGTTCGTTCAGCGGAGTAAATAACTAACATGACAAAAAATAGGTCAACTGGCCAAAGCTAGTTCCCCGCCCATGGGCCTCGGAAGGTTATCATGAGACCATCTCCAAGATTGTGCGCAAGGACAAGATCCTTGGGCCATTGGTGGCTAAGCATGAGCGCGGCCTTAGCACGGCGCGGTACGTCAATGCCGAGGAGGGCAAGAAGAGGATTGAGTAAAGTAAGTAGACGTGGAAAAGTCTTGGGTGGGTGGAACGATCACAACGGTGTGGCATATAGGATAGACACATATTTTACAGGTATAGGGTGGCTGGCGACCGGTAGGAAACGACGACCATTATGAGCTTCTTGGCTCTGCCTTTTTCTTTTGTTGTATTATTTTATCTAGCGTTTAGTTTTCTTTTCCATATTTTCGAACCTTTAGAAGTTCTCTTTGTTTAAACTTCATAATTGGTAATACCATTGGATTACACAAGCACTGTTATGGTTGTAAATAGAGAGTCGTGTGATGTGAACTGATGTGATGAACAATTATTGATATTAACTAAGCCTCTGGCAATCTCTCTATGGTAATCCTATACCGGAAATGTGTCCCAACGCCGCACGATGCAGGTTGCTTAAACCGAAAGACAAAAGAAAGGAATAACTAACGACTCAAACTTCGAACTCCCAATATCACGCAAGGAACTCCCACTAGTACAGTGGTATAGTCCCCCATGCTGAACATCAGCCCTCCAAGAGTACCGTCATGCACTTCCAAATTATATCAAGCCCTTCACGCCCTTCACGCCCTTCACGCCCTTCACCTCCCCCTTTACTTCCTCACGCCCTCTTATTACCCTCCTCCCCCCTCCTCGCCGTGGTGACCCCCTGCGTAATATTCGGTCCCGTCCCAATCCCCGTCAACGTCCTCACAAACCAATGAAACCACGTCTCCGTCTCCAGCACGTTCTTCAGCTCCTCCGCCCTTCTCTCCACGTCCGCCACCTGCGCCTCGAACCTCTCCACCCCGTCCTCGACATCCTGCACTTTATCTACAAGCGCGCCGATCTCGTACTCCAGCTTCGCGACCAAAACCTCCACGTCCTTGACGGCCTCGTTGAGCCTATGTCGCTCCTCGCCCACAATCTCCTCCCCAGAATGTCGGATGCGCTGGTACGCGTCGCTGACGTGCAGGTAGAGCGACTGCAGCTCTGCTTGCTGCTGGGTAAAGGTCTCGTCTAGGCTTTCGACCGAGGACAGCTTGGAGGAGACCCAAGGCGAGAGGTCGGATTGGAGGGTCGAGAGGTGCGCGTAGAGGGAGCGGGCGAGCTCGGCTTGGGTTTCGAAGAGGGTGCCGTCGGAGAGTTGCTGGGTGGCTGCTGTTGTGGCAGCGTCGGGTGGTAAAAGGTTGCTGATGTCGTAGACTTCGTCCCATCCTAGCACGGCGTCCTCGGCTGCGCTGAAGGAGAGGCGACGGGGATATTTGGCTTCGTTGGAAGGTTGGTCGAGGATGAGGTTGGGGCTGAAGGCGTGGACGCTGTGTCGGCGCTGGAGTAGGGAAATGGGGAGGTTTGTGGTTCGCTCGAGTGTTTGGATGGGTCCCAGGAGGTCGTTGGGATCTGGGACTGAGTTGGTGATTGGAGCATCGAGGCTTTTGGCTATTTCTGCGACCCCGGGCTCTGGTCTTGTAATGTCGGTTCCCCTACGACGCTGGCCTGAGGACTCCCTGATGAGCGAAGGAGTTCCGGTTGTGGTGCTGGCAATCGATAGTACTGGTGTAGAGTCGTTGGGGTCCCTTTCCTTGATTCCATTCAGATACTCCTCTGGCCTCAACCGCCATGTGAATGCCCGACCAACCGCCACCGGACTTGTCAAAGCAGTAGATGAATGCGCCAAGCTTGCTATACTTGGGGCTAGACTCATCGCTGCCGCTGCATTGGGAGCATCCTCTTTGGATGGGCGGTTGACGTGGCTTCGTAAACCCGTACCGACAGCATCTCTGATACGGCCAAGTCCTGAGCGGGCATCGCTCACCTTTCCAGCCACACTCTTGAAGACCGTTTTTCGTAAAGCGTCTTTATCGGCAGGAACATCCATGGTACTAGCTGCTGAGACTGGCGGTGCTGAGTATGAGCCCATTAACTCCTCTGTCGCTTTTTTGACTTCCTGCTCTTCGTCTATGGGCATCGACTGGGCCCTTCGACTTCCGGCTTGTGATAACACATCATCTTTAACATCTTTCCCGCCAAATGGAGGTACCATGTATTCGTAATCGTTGAGCGTCCTCCTCGCTTTACCATGCCATAGCCACTTCGGTCGTTTGCCTGTTGTCAGGTTGATGAACTTGTCCAGATCCAACGTTTCAATGTCACCGATGTTCCCTTTGTCTTTTCCTCCCACCATTCCTATTACCAACTCACCTCTCTTGCCTCCTATTTCTGCAACGGTGGACTTCACAGCCTTTTGTACACCCCAAACCTCTCCCGCGGCGGCCTTGGCGGTTAACTGGTGAAGCTTAAGAAGTGTTTGCCGATCGAGGCGTCGCGTCCTCTCGAGTTTCTGCGATTTCTGGAACGCTCCAATACCCCGTTTCGTGCAGTCGACATCGAAGACATCCTTGGAAACTGGAGCATTGCAATAACTGAGTCGGTTCCTGGCACCTATCAGGGTTCCCAACAGAGCGGCAACAGTAGTTGGTCCCAAGATTCCATCCGTCGGTTCCATGTTGAAGTACTCGGATCCGATATCTGTCCACCAATTGTTGATGGCTGCTTCAGTGACGTCACAAAGGAGCCCGTCGATGTACACCTGGTCAAGCAGCCCAAAGATAAATAATGCCACCTGGCATAGTTTCACCAGCTCGACTACTGCGTCTTGGAAGGAGATCTTCTCGGATATCTTGTATAGCTGAGTAAACTTGGCCTGGGTGGCCGGCGTGGGGTCCGATAAGGTGAGACCCGAGCGCCCCGAACACCCCAAACGCTTCAAGTTCTCGTTAACGATGAAGACCCGCAGGTTGTGGCGCAGATCACCGTCGGGAACGGGTATAACAGTTAAGGCGGATGGGAAGCTGCTGAGGTTAGTGACCATGAGCTCACCCAACTCTGTCTCCTTAGGTCTAGCATGGTGCTGCTGTATCGCTTTGAAGTAGGCTTCCAGTCGTGGGGACCAGCCATTCTCTTCTTTTGGTACTTCTAGGACGCCGACGACTATCGAGTGTTTCGTATCACCTGTATAGGTGACGATAGCCAAAGCGGGTGACCGTCGAGAGCAGGCCCATTGCTCGACCAAGTATAGCTCGTAACCATGGAGGACACGGCCTGTTTCGACCACGGTGACGGCAGGGTCCTCTCCAAGATATCTGGGTCTCGTTAGAAGCCGGTTGATGGTTCAGGGGGATGCATGTCTTGGGGTACGTACTTCAGCGCAACGGGATCCGGGAGCACTACCCGACGGCGTTCCGGAGACGGAGACGCAGAGGGAACAGTGGCAGCAGTCGGGGCCATGGAGGCAGACACAGTGGTGTCAAGAAGAGCTGGCTGGGACTGTAGGATGGCATTTCGATGAGAGTTTGTCCTGGCCAAGGTAAGTTCTTCTTCTCGATGGACCCGAGCATCAAGGGCGGCTCCGGGGAAAGTCATCCGCTGTGACATGGCCGTCGTGGCCGTGTAGGCGATCTCCAGCGATCCGGGGCGTTTAGGTTTGGGTTCCCCCCTACTTTACAGCCTAGCTCCCGGCCTGGATCCAACTCTGGGTCCTTGGGAAGCCAACGGGGTGTCCAACTCTGCGTGTCAATACGGGCGGTGGGCCATGCGTACATGCGCCGATCGAGGTGTGGACTACACGAGCTTCATCGTGGAGCCAGGAATTCCTTGCCGTCTTGTTGGGAACTCGACTTCGCTTGAATGGCTTAGTTCTTGGCTGTTGGGGCGGTGAGGGCCCCCGGCCGTTGTCTTTCACAATCTCGTCCGGATGGGTGATGGATGTGAGCAAACAGTCATGCTCTCCTTCTGGTTCAACGGCACAGCTGATGATGGCGGCTGCTCCCGGATGGTTGCCAGGTACGACTTTGTTGAAGGTATGTTTTAACAAGTGGTTGGTGCATATAAGTAATGGTGGCATGTGATGCGATCACGGCATTGGATCGGACTAAGGTGAATCCAGGAGACATGGTTGTACACCAAGTACAAGTAAAGGATCCATGCCATTCGGACGTAAAGGGTAGGTAAAGAAGCTTCCATCAAATGTTCCCCAAATTCCGGCCGATCCTCCCCTTTGAAAGTCCCGAACGTCACTGCAATGAAAGAACACCCTGCCAGCTTCCGTCTTCTCCCTTCCAACTTCCTTTTGTTAGGAACTGGTTGCCTATTTGCTGGAGTTCCTTAACATTCGACCTCAGATGTTGTCGACTCGTCTAAAGCGACTGTGTTCAAATCTAGCACGACTGTGTAGAGTAGCCCCACCCATACTCGAATATCGGGGAAATATTGCCGCCCGCTAAATCCTCACCAAAGTGATATAATACAATTATTTTTATATAGAACGCAGTCGAAAGAAGCTATACTTGAAGTTGCATTTAAGCCCAGATTATGTGAAAAATATAATTTACGTAGAATTTGGATTATTACATATAATAATAAAAAGAGGTACTAGAAATACCAATTCTATTAACTAAATTAGGGTAGCTACTAGGGAGCTCGCTAGGGAATAGGCGGTTAAATAGAAGGGGGAGGTATATAATTATAGGAAACGGTAGAAGGCACTATATATTATTATATACTATAAAACTACCTATACTATATCTATTAAGAAAGTACTAACCTCTCCCTTTATATCTCCATCTCCCTTTATTATAATTATCTCTCTAAGAACGAAGTTTTCGCCGCCGTATATTACGCCTCGTATTTCGCCTTATTAATTTATAGTTTAGCTATTTGCGTTTATATTATCTTCTTTTTCTTTAGTGGCGGCTACGTTTAAAGGGTATTATAATTCGGATTATATCGTACGGTAGAGGCGAATTAGAAGTTAGTGGTATCACAGGGCGAGAGGGCACCGTTGGGGGTAGGGTAAGATATGCGTTGTTGTACGAAGGAGAGAAAGGGAAGTGTGCGTAGAGGATTGGCTATATAGGCGAGAGCCCAGTAGACCAGTCCGTGCGCGCGCACGTGAGACTGCACGTGACTAGAGTATGTGACTAGTACGTGAGTACGTAGCTCTAGGCTATAGTACTAGCTCTAGTATAGTTATATGTAGTTAGTATAGTATAACTATATTATAGGCTAGCCTTATAATACTATCCCCCATTAAAAGAAGTTCGTAGAGCTGAAAAATCTATATATATATATAATAATAAATTTATTCCTTTACATTATTTTATTATAATTTACAAATTGCGTTGGAGGTAATTTTTCTAATTATATATTTATTAAATGTTATATAATCCTATTAAATATTAAATATAGCCTATCCTCTACTTCCTTATTAATTATCGTATTCGTTTCAATTATCATAACCGAATCTGGGAGCGGCCTTATTATATCGATAGCTGAAGCGGTTTCTCTTTATTAGAGGTGGGCGGAACGTTGGCGCGGAAGTTCAGGAGCGGAGGCGGGAATTAGAGAATCGGCGGCGAAGCGGTATAGGAAGTTTTAGACTTCTAGAAGGACTAGTTTATCTAGGTTCTTATAGTAGAATTATTATATGCAGTGCTTATAATTAATAATATTATTAACGAGCTCCTAGGTTAGGTTTCCGGTCTTTTATTTAATATAGTAATATTAGTGCGAATTACCATTTAATTGGGTATAATTGATAAACTTCTTGAAAACCTATTCTTTATATTCTTTCTAATCGTCCGTTTAAATTATAATACGATCGTTATTTGCCCGGATATTCAACAACGTATTTTACCCTAATAATCCTTTATTAAATTATAATTATACTATAAAAACATAGAAAATTGGCGAATACTTTATATTAATTAGTAGGGTAAAATAAACGGTATAAAATTCGGTTCGAATGATTTTGAAAGGTCCTTCCTAACGAAGTAAAAATTTTATATAGGGGCGACTATTAGCGAAATTAATTATATTTAATAAAACTATATCGTTAACGTAGTATTTAGGGGAATTAATACGTTTTTTATTAGCGTTATCCTTATATTATTCCTAAATACAACGAATTTATTAGATTATAAAATTTCAAATCTTCTAGAAGCAATCCGTTAATTTAGAAGCTTTATAATATTTCTTTAATTAGGTTAGTAATAAATTGAGGGGGGGTAGCGTACGAAGTTCGGTATTTATCCGGGGGTAATAACCGTAATTAGTAAAGAAGGGAAAAATACTTATTAATAACGATATAGCGTTATTATTAGCAAATTCTACGATTGCTAACTATTTTACCTAATCTATTTATACCTAATTAATATAAAGTTATAAGAATTATTTTATTTCTATATTAATCTTTTCGGTTTGAATATTAATTTAGGGGTAGAAAATAGAAATTAGTTTACGGATAATAAATAATTTCTTATAGAAGGTAAATTAAAAATATAATATATATTAAGTATTTCTATTAGATGGGACGTTATTTAGTAAATCATAAGTCGAATAAATATAAGCGATAAAATAGTCCGTAAACTTTCCCGCTTTTAAAATTATAATTGGGATATAATATTATATTTTAATTAAGTAGTCGACGACAACGGCGATATATTTAAAGGTTTAGTTAAAGTAAATACTATTTAGTAGTAGGGTAACGTAATCGATTATAACGTCCTGTTAAAATATTAATGATACGATTATTAATTTAAAGTAGTTAGCAGAGCCTCGTTTTATTGATTTAGTTTTTATATACGGGAAGTAGCCTTTATAATAAATCTTTATATTATTATATATATCTTCTTAATAGAATTTATATTATAGGAGTTTGTAAATAGCGTTATAGTTTAGGTAGCCTGCGTTTAGGGAATTATATTAGTAATTAATTAATTAGAATTAGAGTTCTTTATTATAAGGGTCGATAATAATTCTATCCCGCTATTTCGTAATATTATTAACAATATAGTATTTTAAAAAAGTATAATAGAAAACCTTTCCGATTATTAATAGTTATTAGCGCCTTGCTTCGTCCGTTAAGTAAAAGATTAATTCTTATAAAAAGATGGAGGTTTTGTAATTTGCTCGGATTAAATTGTTAGTTGATTTATTATTGAAGTTGTTTATATTTAATAGGTATAAAGAGAAATTGGTCGCGGGGTTCTCTTTAGAGAAATAATTGTATTTAAATTATAAAGGGTCTAATAGAGCCCGTTTGCGTACTATGAATTTATCATCCTCTGTATTGTTGGGGCGGTTGTTTGGTTTATAGTTTAATACGTTTAGGCGGAGATTTTTAGAACCCGGTATATATTTAATTAAAAAATTGAAACAGGATAAGAATTAGGATTACTACATATAGCGTTAAATAAACTATTTATTAATTGTAAAAGTTTATAAACTCTTATAATCTATTAAGATATCGAAAAGCTATTAAGCCCCCTCGAATTCTAACCTCTATTCCTCTAATATTTTAATAATAGTAAATATTTCCTTATTGTAAATATTATAATTATATTCTTAGGACGTATATTTTTTAAGAGTAAATTATTAGGTAAAAGCCGTTATTTTCCCTATATTAGGAGAGGGTATTTCCTATAGTTTAATTAGAAGTATTTATTTCTATAACCGTCTTCCTAATTTAATTATAGATTTTAAGTACGGGTCCTTCTATAAAAATTTTCTTTAGTACTTTAAAAGATTATTAATAAATGTTATTCTAAGTTTATGTAGTATCTTTCTTAGTAAATTTATAAAGTGGGGTCGCTATAATCGAAAAATCCTTTATAAAACGTTTATAGAAGTTCGCGAAGTTTAAAAACGGCTATAATGATTTTTTGGATTCTAGAGCTACTTATTTAATAATAGTTTTTACATTTTGTAAGTCTATTTTAATACCTCCCAAGGTAATAATTAATCCTGAATACTTTGTACGTATTATATAGAATTTATATTTATCGATATCGATGTTAAAGCCCGTTTTAATTAATCGGTCGAAAAAGTTATTAATATAGTATTTCTAATCCCGGACGTTGTTAGAGTAAATAAGAATATTATTGAAGTAAGTAGTCACATAGACGTTAAAAATATTATATAGAATATTATTAATATAATTTTAAAATATTCCCGGTCCGCCCTATAAATTAAATGGTATTATTAGGAATTCGAAGAGGCTGAATTATATAATAAACGCGGTTAATTATTCATAGCCTTATTTAATACGAATACGATTAAAGGCGGTAATAACGTCGAATTTAGTAAATATTTTAATACGATAGATTACGTCGAGCATTTTTTTAATAAGCGGGAGTAGGTAGTAGGATTTTAAAATTATATTATTAATACTTCTATAATTAACGTAAACGCGGACTCCTCTGCTTAATTTCTTTATGAATAATATTAAG